GCTTACTGCTGTGGATGGTGGGGATCCCCCCAAGTCTGGTACAGCCCAGATCTCTGTGCGAGTTGTGGATACCAATGATAACCCACCTGCCTTTGACCGCTCCACCTACACCGTGAGCCTTCTGGAGAATGCCCCGCCTGGCACACTAGTGGTCAAACTCAATGCCTCAGACCCTGATGAGGGCTCCAATGGGGATGTGATCTACTCCTTTGGCAGCTACACCCCACAGAAGGTGAGGCAGCTCTTTAGTGTAGACCCACACTCAGGGGAGGTGCGGGTTAATGGTACCTTGGACTATGAAGAGGCATCATCCTATGAGATCTATGTGCAAGCCACTGATCAGGGCCCTGTCTCTATGGCTGGGCACTGCAAGGTGCTGGTCAACATTGTGGATGCCAATGATAATGTTCCTGAGGTGGTCCTGACCTCCCTCTACAGCCCAGTGCCAGAGGATGCAAAGGCCGGAACTGTGGTGGCCCTGATGAGCGTCACTGACCAAGACTCGGGGCTGAACAAGCAGGTGAGCCTGCGTATTCCCCCTGGCCTCCCCTTCACACTTAACTCTTTCAAGAACTCCTACACCTTAATCACCCAGGGCAAACTGGACCATGAGAAAGCATCAGCCTACAACATCACAGTTACTGCTACTGACTCTGGGAGCCCCCCTCTTTCCTCGCAGAAGGTGATCCATGTGGACATCTCTGACATCAACGACAATCCTCCACGCTTTGAGGAACCTGTGTACTCAGTTTACATCCCTGAGAACAACCCCCTTGGAGCCTTGCTGTGCACTATCAAAGCCACTGACCCAGATGTCGCCGAAAATGCCTATGTATCGTATTCCCTACTAGATGGGGAGATTGAAGGGCTACCTGTTGCCTCCTATGTATCCATTAAATCCGATAGTGGCAACATGTATGCTGTCAGGTCCTTTGACTATGAGACACTAAGGGAGTTCCAGGTGGTTGTCCAGGCTCAGGATGCCGGGATCCCACCCCTGAGCAGCACTGTCACTGTCTACATCTATGTGGTGGATGAGAATGACCATGCTCCTCAGATTCTGTATCCTACCTCAACCAACACTTCAGCAGCCCTGGAGATGATTCCACGCTCGGCATATGCTGGATATTTGGTAACCAAAATTATAGCCATTGATGGGGACTCAGGACAAAATGCCTGGTTGTTCTTTCACCTGGTGCAAACCTCAGATCCAGGTTTGTTCAGGATAGAGCTCCATACTGGGGAGATTAGGACTACTCGCAAACTAGGGGAGGACGTCACATCTACTTTCAACCTGACGGTGGAGGTGAGAGACAATGGAGAGCCACCGATGTCTTCATCAGTATCCATCACTGTTGCCGTGGTGGACAGAGTTTCCAAAATCATCCCTGATACAAGAAGGCACATTAAAAGTCCAACCAATTACTCAGAGATCACTCTTTATCTCATTATCGCTTTGAGCGCCATCTCCTTCGTTTTCCTTTTCACAATCATTGGGCTTACTGTTATCAAGTGCTACAGATACAGTCTGTATGGGGACTCCTGCTGTGCAGGGTTCTGTGGGGTCAGAGAACGGTGCCCTGCTGAATTGTACAAGCAGGCCAACAACAACATCGATGCTAGGTTGCCCCAGGGTTTAAAAGTACAACCCCATTTCATTGAAGTGAGGGGCAATGGGTCTCTCACTAAGACCTACTGCTATAAGGCGTGCCTAACGGCAGGATCAGGAAGTGACACTTTTATGTTTTACAATACCTGTGGCCCAACAGGAACTACTGGCCCTTCTGCAGTGGTGACTGAGAGGCATCTGACAGGACAGAGTGGGCAGAGTGCACAAAACCTGATCATACTTAAAAATGACTCCATTGCTCCTAACGAGGTGAGGCTACATTGACAAATGGTCAGCACAGTGCTCTGAACAAATCTATGTTTAAGCAGAGGTTCAAACTCGAAAACTCAGATAAAGCATATTCCCTTTTGGGCTCACTGACACCCAGCTATGAAACGTGGTTATAATAAATCTAATCTGTGCAATGCATTTTGTTTCTAGGCAAATGCTGGGACTTTCAGGGTCCATTTGGTAAGTTCAGTATATGCGTCTGTTGTTTGAGATTTACTTCTTTTTTGTGGCATATGCTGTATAGAGTATTGCCTCCTTGCCTTTTCTCTTACAGGTCTAAAATTCCCTGCAGCCACACAGCGCTAGGGAATTACACATGTGGTCTTAAAGTTTTAATACTAAAACTGATATTGCAGGAAAAAAGTGTATTGCCTGGAAATCAATAGATTACCTTATGGCAGTTATGCTACTTCACTGATTTCATCCCTAGGCGAACTGTAGAATTTAGATCATTGCAATAATGTGCTTTGCTTACTAATGTGGGAATGTTTTAGTTACCTGAAAACTGAAATCCCTCCTTTGAAAATGTTTGTTTTACCCAGTGCTGCATTTCGTGCTTTCTGGACAATGACAATCCAGTGACATCTCTGTAGCAAGTCACCATCATTATGTTAGAGTGTGACAACTTCTAACCTGCTGAGTTGCTATTGAAATGTGTTTAATACCTATGGATTGACCAGCGGCATATTAACCTTTTCAATATTTTCCCGCAGAGAGGAATTAACGGTTGGTTTCTGCTAGCATACAGGCAGTCTGCAGTCAGTGTGTGGTTGCCTGCTCTGTACATTTTCTTTTCTATGTATACTGCAACTAAACCCAGAAGCAGTCACAGGAGAGACCAATTCTGGCTCACAAAAGGGAAATTTTGCAGTTATTGTGTGTTGTTTGTACCCTACAATTGTGGCAAACATAAGATCACTACATGCAGTAGTGTATGCTATGTCTTCAGATGTGGGGAAACTAGGGAAGTAACTGTGGTGGGGTAGAAAAGACCCTGACTTGTATAATCTTACCACAGAAATATCCTTTATTTCCTTATTCACATACGAAGATGTTGGCCTTTTTTCTAACTGTTGTTTAGTTACACAAAGATGCACATATCTTAAGGACTGGCAAGTCTTCCATAAAAATGCTTTTAGAGAGTAATGATTATCCATTCGAAACTAATCCACTTAAAATTAATGCAGCATTTTTCTATAAATCACAGTGGCAAGATATGGAGAAGTATTTTTTTCTTTTTCTACATGGTTCTCGTACCTTAATATATTTCTGAGTTTAATACAATGGCTGGAATCTGATATAGGAGGGAACGTGAGACATATTCTGTAAGTATGTATGCTGAACAATCAGAGTGAAATATAAACCTTACATCTGATTTGCTGGGGAGGGGGGAGGTGGGGAAAGAGGAGCAATAATTGGAAAAAAGAAGACTTAACTTTGGATGCAAGACTGGTAGTTTAACAGACAGATTCCTGTCACATTTTAGGGAGTCACTCCATTGCATGCAGTGAGTTAGCAAGTTTTGAACAGCAGTGCAGATCAGGCAGTGACAGCAAAGCCAGTCCAAACCTCGAGTACAAAAGCAGAGGGGTTTGTAGAACAAATCAGTGAGTGTGGGGTTATGATCTGAAAGAGGAATCATTTATTCATATAGCTCTGTATCATTTAAACAGAGAAGAAATTCTGATAAGTTGTACTTGTCATGCATTCTTTTCTTAGGTCTCTGCTTCATAAACTGTCCTGTGGTAATACTTACTCTGAAGATGTATCAATGCCAGGTGTACATGAGGAAAAGGGTGAATGTAATGGTATTCACTAATTACTAGTTCCTAGCTAATTATATACTATAAAATCCTGTCTTTCCCTTATTTCGAGCTCAGCATATGCACTGAAAATGCCATCCATTGCTTAGCAACACCAAATTCTACTTTTTAAGGATAATGGTCTTTGTATTACTAGATCTTCAGAGAACTATTTCTCTTTTTAGTTAAAATGAACATTTAATCAGTCTTTAAGAGCCCATGCCTTCACCTGTGAGGTGTAGCAACAGGAATCACTCTCCTTGCATTGATCGACAAAGTTACTCTCTGATGTGTGTGTTACGTTTGGATAATATGAACAGGTCCTTTTTTTTTCAGCTTTTGGAAACTGATTTTCTATTAGTTGTTCAGTGATAAGGATGGGTCCAGGTGAATGAGCTTTCTATTCGATCATACCATATGTAGGGTTTCATGGAGGCTACTATTTTGCAAATATTGTTTATGCAGTGAGAGGAAAAATATCTAGAAGCTATTTGGGATTAATTTCAGTAACTCTTGATGCAATAAGACTTTGGTCCTTCTCATATTTAGTAGTAAGGTCAAAGGTGTTACTAATTACTTTACACTAAGTTGCAACTGACTTCATTGGGCCATTAGAAGGGTGCAGTGGAAGGGAAAACCCAGTGTATTACAGTGATGCTGGGAATTCTTTGTATCTGTTGAAGTGCTGCTTCCTGTGTGATGGTTCTGACTTGTACTGCTGGTGTTGTGATGGTGGAATGGGAGCTTGTTTCTGCAATACAGCCTGTGCTTCTGCGTTCACTCTCCTTGCCTTTATGATCCTTTATAGCTTCATAAGAATATCTCAAACCAAGTATGTTTTATAAAAGAGGAAATGTTCTAACACAGCCACATTGAAAACCTTGGACACAGTTATTGCTGGCAGGAGTCTGATGATAAAGATCAGAATGTGGGGTTGATAGGTACCGGTTTCTCATCAGCTGGATAACTACTGCAAGGTGATCAGGAAGGCTGTGTGGGCAAAATATAGAGATAGCAAAATGTAGAGACAGCAAAATACTGTGGCTTCATTGCTGGTGCTGTGTGAGGTTATGGGCAGCCTGGATTTCTGCCTTTTGAATGGGGGTGCATGCAGATGTAAGGGGGGTGTGTGAAGATGTGATTTTGTTACTGGGCACTGCTGCAGTGATGATCCATCATTTTCAGCAAAGGTTTCAGTGCTTTCGCCTGGAGTCCCTTTCCTCATACACTTGTGAAGATGCTGACTGATGTCTGAGTAGTGTCTGGTCCTTGGCTTGTCTTTTCATCTCTCCCTTCTTGTTCTTATATTCTGTGTGGTTAAGATTGTTCTTTATATCTGTCTCCTGACGACCTTTTCCCTTCAATACAAGGTATAACAATCAAACCAACATACATTTTAACTGAAGTTTTCTGCCCCAGAAGGCAGCCAGGCACATTCCTAATGATAAGTGGGCAGTCTGGATACTTGATAGAGCTAGATATCAGCTCTTCTGATCCTACCTTTCCTTGTACTATTTTTTGTGTGGTGATACATGTGGCTGACAAAATACCATGTTTTATATGATGTTCAGAACCCAGGGCTTTTTTTGAGTTTTCCGGCTGTTTGCTCTGCTGCTGGCTCTTACTCTGTATTTTACACCTCAAAACCAGCTTGCTAAACATATGGGAAAAAACCCCAAGATTTACATCGAACATATCTTGATATCACTTTAAAAAGCAAGCATGTTTGGAAGTGTCTAAATCAAGTAAACCCACAGCGTTGTCTGGAGCAATCTTTCAAAGCGATTTCTCACAGAGGCTTTAAAGGTATTAATGGTGGAATATCTTACAGTCTCAGTTCAAGAACTTAAGCCTTTAAGAAATTCTCCAGCCCCACTGACATTGTAAAGGTTAACTATAAATGTTTGTTCTTTTGTTTAGTAGCAGCATCTGAACCTGTTCTGCTAAGCAGGGACAGTGCTCCCTGCTTCAGGGCAGTCAGACCCGTGGTTTGATGCTCACTGCTGTGCCAGCAGAAATTTGCATCCAGTATTAAGCAGAGGAGTTTTCCTTCTCTTGGAACTCATTAAATACGCTTTACAGATGCACTTGCCTGTACCATTCACCTTCATTTTCTCATTTAGGAATGCAAATGAGCACTGCCAGGAAGAAAATCCTGGACTACTGAATTACGCCCTTTTCCAGTTTCCATTCTGATTTCTTGTATGATAAACACATGTTTAGACTATTTATAGTTTGTTCTCCACATCAGATTAATTCTAAACATTTACAGAAGGAAATCAGGAATAGAAGCCTCTGTTTCCCCACATCTGTCAGCCTTGTCTCACTGGAAAATAAAACAGAGCTGTATGCAGTCAGGGGCTCTAAAAGGCCTTTTATTATTACTTCAAAGCGGATATATTCGATAAATATAACTTATGTCATTCTGTCCTGCACTTGTGTGGAATTAGGAATGGAGTGGGATGCTTTTAGCAGTTTCATTGTCTGGTAACTGTTTGTAGATGTTTGATTCACACCTCTCTACCTCAAGCAGGCCCTGTTCTAACACCCACTGAAGTCAGTGGGAGGCTTTGCATTGATTTTTGTGAATATAGAATCAGGACAGCATTAAAAAAAATTAGAAATTCCTTCTACCCTAGGGACAAATCTTTACTGCGTTAAAATTATCAGCTAAAAAAGAGGACTGAGTGAATTGTTTGTAACTATGTATTTTTCAACTAAATATATTCTCTAGGAACCAATGAAATTATTCTTAAATTAACCCATGCTGTGCAATTTGAAAACAGCTGTGTTAAATTTTGCATGAGCATTTTTTGCTATTAAGGTGGCTCCATTTTATATTATACATTCACTTGGTTTATCTGACTTTCCAATAGGGTTGGTAGTTTATGAGTAGTCCTCTTAATGCTTGTGGTTATGTGGTTGGCAGAATGTAAGCCTGGTGCCTGGAAGAACTGGCAGGAGCAAACTGTTGGCATTAGGTGTTCACCTTGTGCAGTGACAACCACTTCTACAGGCATCTGGATGGATTTTGACTCTTCACAAATATGACTGTGTTGTGTGCTGTTACTAAATCAGAAAAAGCAGATGGTGGGAGAAGCAGGGAATGGTTGACCACTTCTGTGCTGGATCGTGTGATTTCCCTCACCTCCACTGATGAGTGGTAAGAACAGGACCACTGGACTTGATACGTGGCCTCCAAGAAACTGAGGGATATGGAAAATGGCAGATAATGTAATGAGTTGAGAGCTGGGGAGGTAGAAGGACCAGTAATATCATTGTCAGTAATGTGTGACGTAGCGAGAGTATGGGGGTATACAACTGGGAAGCATCTGCACCACTTCAGGGTCTGTATTCCTCCTTGTGCTTCCTCTCTGTACTCATGGTTCCTGGCCAGCTCTACCTTGTCCTAGTGATGTTGAAGTATGACACGGCTACGTATCTCACAGCAAACCCTGTGACTGGGCTGCTGTGCTGGCCCTTGGGACTGCACTGAAGACACGGCCCTACTTTGAGATGGGCCATATTGTGTCCTGACACAGTGACTGTGTGCTCTGTGATGGCATGTGTCATTGTGGCAGGTTTCCGTGGGTGGTTTGATAAAGGTGGACTGTTCATAGCCAGAGATTTAAGCCAATCCAAGCATGCAGACTGTGAAGGCCTGATGAATCCATAAGAAAAAGCACTGCTGCATCTGAACTAGGGA